AAGCATAAGAGCAAAGCGAAAAGGAAATGACATGTCTCTCAATTTACACATGTTTTTAGATGTGACCCTTTACTCTGCTTCATACTACCATGATAGTAAATCTTGAATACTTTAGCTCAGCCATAAATGTGATTTTGCAGGAGTCTGGTAGAAGGTAAAGAAGATCACTATTCTCACGATTCCACATGACATCATCAAACTAAGTTTTTGTTGGTTGTGAATATGCACCCTCTAGTGGCAAAAATGACATATTTTACCTTTAAGTAAATAATAACCCCTTATATATATATATATATATATATATATAATTAGATTACTCACAAATCTTAATGTAAGCTGGAGATGTATTGCATCTATGCAATTTTCCCTTTAAGTACTAGAAAATCCACTCTTGGGCAAATTAAGAATGAGACCCAAATCAAATCAGATGTGGTGCACATCTGGATTTATCCAACATCAATGTTTGGTTGGATAATGTTTTTGTGAACACATCTGAGAACCGTACCTGTGTCTACGTACATGAAAGGATGGCCAAACTGTGTATTTTTGTGTTTACATACTTGGTTTCCTGTAGAGTGTGACTGACGTGCTGCAAGCAGAAGGTATTTATATCTCGTTTCTGCTCTCCTTCAGCAGTAATTGACTCCCTTCTTATTCTTCTGAACCTTTGCATTGCATTCCTGACAAACAGACGCATATGCCGCTCTGCTTTGAAAATGAAACAAAATGGTATAAAATCCAAAGCACAAAAGTGAGGCAAGCGTCAACGATATCCGAGCATTCCACCTGCTCTGTCATTACCCAGCAACAGGAGTAAACAACTCTGATGATGACGCAAATCTATGTGAACGCAATTCATTGGCCGCAGCAGGAGGGAGGATCAATTGAACTCGGGTTTGGACCAGATGATCAAACCAAGTGTGAAAGCTTGCTTTTTTTGTTGAACACAAAAAACATATATTTTTAAGGTAGATGAAAACTGATAACCCTTGTTATCCAAAGTAGGAAAAACAAATACTATGGAAGAATATGGAACAAATACTATGGAAGTTACTGGTTACCAAGATTTGTCAAAATATCTTCTCTTCTTCAGATAAAAGACACTCATACAGGTTTGTGACAAGTAAAATGTTATTAAATGCTAAAAGAGTTTTCAGTTTTGGGCATGGGCAATATAGGCAATCACCAGGGCGGCATCTTTGGCACGGGAAGATGATAAAATTTATTTTAAAAATAACTAAACGTGCCCCATTAAAACCATCTGTGCCCCGGTAAACTTTGAGATGCGATTTACTTTAAGCAAATGTAAAAATTTAGAATGATAATCCTAGAATAAACATGTCAGGGGCCATTCACATTGAGGGCCCTATCATACACCCGGTGCAATGTGGTGCAAGGCGTGACGCAGTAGTCTTTTGGTAGTTTCAGCTTGGCGCAAGAGTCGTTTTGAGGCGTTGCCCTACGCTGTTTAAATAGCAAATGCATTTGCCCAGATGTGCGCCCATAGGCGTTCTGGTCTAAAAAGGAAGGTGTTCTGAGGCGCACTGCTGGCGCGTTGCTATTTTGAGAAACTAAAATAGATTTTTCAATAGACCAAAACAAACCTGGTCTAAACTCTGGCGCAGAGTTGCGCCTCGCATACACACTGCTTAATACGCACAGAGAGCAATAGGCAAATATCTTTACATATGAAAAAACTTATATATTAAGAATATATATAGGATATAATAAGAATAGATATAGGATATAAATAAAAAGGATTAAAATATTACAAAACATATTATTTTCTAGCCTATATAAATATGAGAAATCACTGCTTTTATGTCTTCTTCATCTCGGGAGGCTTTTTCAGTTCGTTCATAACAATTTGCTTTTGTATAATGTTATTATTATTAGCAGTATTATTTATTATATCCATATTTATATTTGTTTTATTAAAAACAAGCTTAGATTTGCCCACCTGTCAGTAGATGCTGTTTAACAGTTTTCTGTAAAAAAAACTGTTAACTGTTTGCTAATGAAATGCTCAGTTTTTCCTCTTAGACTTACTTTACGTCCTGTAACTAGCGAATGCGCTTATGGCGCGACAGCTGACTCCTAAAGGGAATGGGAGATGAGACTCTAAATGGTTTATTCTCAAAACACACATATAACTCATTAAGAAAATAAACTCAACCCTTTTAGACCATGCGCCACGGCACAAAGCGGATTTTCCCGTCCTTAAATTAGCAAAAATGCGTTCTGACACGCCCTGAAAGCGTTTGCGCCCTGCGCATAGATCGTCAAAATAGAGCCCTTAGTGTCTTTTGCATAGGCAAATTTGTATTCTCTATGTGCAATCGAAACAAAGCTGGTTAAAGCAAACTGATGCATGTGCGCAGAAAACCATTCACCACTTAAACACGCTGCTCCTGGTCCCGATATGAATCCCACCTGTTTACATGCATACAGATAAAATATGTGCCGCTCATGCACTGTGGAACCGGAGTAACAGCCTTTTGTGTTACTTTTATGATACAAGGTGTCGACACACAGCAAGTTTAGATGCAAAAACCACTAAAAGCCATTTGATATTTTCTTCTAAAATTAGCATTTTTCACCAAATATTTTGTGTTAGCTTGGTAATTTTACATATAAGTTCTTTTTGTTGCCTTTTAATTGAAATAACTGAACATACACATAGGAGGTTGAAAAAAATTCATAAGGCGACTTTTCTTAAGAGAACATTTAAGACCGCATTTAGAGGTTTTTGCATCTGAACTCTTCATATATATATTTCTCTTTTTTTTGGTTCATTCATTCATTCATTTTCTACAGCTTTTCTGGGGCCGGGTTGGAGGGGCAGCAGTCTTAGAAGAGAACACTAGACTTCCCTCTCTCCAGCTCCTCCAGGGGGATCCCGTGGTTTTCCCAGGTGAGCTGAGAGACATAGTCCCTTCAGTGTGTCCTGGGTCTTCCCTGATGCCTCCTCCCTGTGGAACATGCCTGGAATGTTTAGAAGGCATGCCCAAGCCACCTCAGCTGACTTCTCTCGATGTGGTGAAGCAGTGGCTCTACTCCGAGGTCCTTCAGGGTGACAGAGCTCCTCACCCTATCCAAAAGGGTGTGCCCTGCCATCCTGCGAAGGAAACTCGTTTCGGCTTCTTGTTTCCAAGATCTTGTTCTTTTGGTCATGACCAAAAGCTCATGACCATAGGTGAGAGTAGGAACGTAGATTGACCGGTAAATCGAAAGTTTTGTCTTTCGGTTTAGCTTCTTCTTTACCACAAGGGGCCGGTACATCGACCGAATTACTGCTGCCGCTGCTCCATTCTGCCTATCAATCTCACGCTCCATCCTTCCCTCACTCGTGAACAAAACCCCAAGATCCTTTAACTCTTCCACCTGGGGTAAGGACTTTCCTCCAACCTGGAGATGGCAAACCATCTTTTTCCGGTGGAGCACAGACTTGGAGGTGCTAATTCTCATCCCAGCCGCATCACACCTCCAGTCTTTTTTTTTGTTAGTATTTTATAGAATTGACATAATTAATATTCATGCAAGATATTTCTTAAGTGATCTTAGCATATCACTTTGATTTTGTCTTTACATTGCTTTCCAGTTACATTTAGGATTGTTAATTGTTTAATAACAACAATATTAATTTTATTTATAATAAATATAAACATTTTTAATAATCACATTTCTGGTTTTGCCCATATTTTACCCACAGTTGAATTAAAACAGCAAACATATTTTTTAGAATGTACATGTTTAATCCTTTTCTTATAACTATGTAACCTTGCAACTATTTATAAGTTTGGTGGAGGGGGGGGGAATATACAGCAGCATTCAACTGCTTCATCTGTAAACTCTGGAGAACTTCTGGCAACAGTTGTATCTCAAGAAGATTCAATCTTTCATCAGCAAAAACAGAACGATCTCAGGATTTTGGCTAGGTCATGGTTTATTTATTAGCCCACATTAGATATGTGCACTATATCTGACTTAAAACATGTCAATAAAGACTTATTTTTGATTCCTATAGATAGCACACATAAAGCATTTGCATAGCTTTATGAAATTGGGATTAAACCACTGAGAATTGCTTTCATGTTGTTTTTCTGAACATCTTGAAGCTTCTTGGTGAACCAAGCTTCAATGGGAGGCCTGCAAATCTCTCAGGTTTCATTAAAAAACATCTTCTTTTGTGTTCCTGAATACGAACAAAAGTTTTATGGGTTTGACACGAGGCAGAGTAAACGTTGACAGCATTTTCATTTGTGGATGAACTAAGTCTTCAAAATGACTGTTGTCACAATGTGCGCACGCTGTTATCAGAGTTTTCCTTCAACATTTATATGTCAAGAGGAACAAGACGTCTACAAATACTTCAAACGCCCTTGAATATTTTCTCAAACCACAGGATCCAGGATCCTGTGGAGAGACGGGCCAGCTACACATGTAAATTGTATTTGAAATGTCAAGAAATACCTCTCGATCTGTTATCATCTGCTCATCTTAGATTACCATAGGAGCCATTTGTATGGCGAACGCTTTATAGGAGGGGAATGAGGAGGTTATTCCCACACATTAGCTAAACTAGGTTCGGTTCATGGGTCACACCGTCACTTAGCAGCTCATCAAGGCCCTTATTTAGCAAAGAAGGCGAGATTATATGTTTTGCATGCAGAGCACCGTTGAGCGTCCAAACAATCTCAAGGCTGGAATCTAAACGGTCCGCTCAGAGGACTCTAATCAGCCTGACACAATTACACTCTGTCACTCAATTATTGAAAAGGACCTTGTCAACAATGCAATGCCTTGCTGCTCCTTTAAACAATAGGAGACGCGCTAAGTTGTGCCGATGAGCCAAATTATGAATTTGCATGGGGTTGCAAGGCCGTTTTGCAGCATAAAATTTGAATTTTCTGCAAGAAAACAATACAGGCTTTGGGTGGATTATGACATTTTCTGCCTTGAACTGAAGTGAGCATGAAAGAGAAGTCAGTAGAGCTTACGTCTAACGTCTCTGAAGTAGATAGTCTGCCGGTTGGGGTTGAGCAGTTGGATGACGGAGTCGTCGTTGTTTTTCACCCGGCAGCTGATGATGGCCGTCTCGCCCTCCACCACTGAGACATTATTTGTCACCAGGTTCTGACCCTGCACTGTAACACAGACAAAAAGCACACAAGCCTTAGAATACAGCATAAAAGGAGTATAAAGTCTATTCATTTTCTCCTTCCAGAATAAGACTGTAAGTAGATGAGGAAACACATTACAGTTAGGTGTAATCAGTACCTTGTTTTGACCGATTTGATATTGCAAAATAAACTCAATTATATTACATATGAGCATGAATTGGGACAGTGGTGAATGATACAGAAAGTAGAAGCTTTCATTTCTGGTTAGAGAACATTATACTTGGTGGGTTTTTTCACCTTCAAAAACAAATTGACTTTTTCAGATGCCAAAGTTTAAATATCAACTTGTTCGCTTGCTTCAACTACATGTTCTGTTTAAGAATTTGCTCAGTAAGTGGAGAGTAGGAGGCCTTTTATAGCTATTTGAATGCATTTGACCATATGAGTGTTCAAACTGTGAAAAGAATCCAATCAAATGTGTTTTTGAATACCTCTGGAAGTGGCTCGATGTTGACAAAGCATCTCAGACCTTGTTTACAAGTGTTTACAAATGTGTTAAGCATCATCAGTCTGAGACTGGGTCAATAAACCAAGTGCAAACAAAGCTGAAATTACTGAATGATTATTATATATATATATATATATATATATATATATATATATATTGGGTGGCATAGTGGCGCAGTGGGTTTAGTAATTTATTTAGTTCTTTAGTAATAAGTTTGTTTTTGTAAATCCAGATCATTACAATAATAAAAATGTTTTTATTTGGCTTAAAAGTGTTTAAAAATTGTCCTGGGTTAAACATATACATTAAATAGCTTCTTTGCAAGGATTCAATTTATAAATCATAGCACACTGTTCTCCCCTACAGAAAAGTACATTCAAGTGCTTGCTTTTTAAAGCAAAAGTATCAGTATCGGTATCAATATTGGCGATACTGGCCCTGTGTTTACTTGGTACGATCGATTTTTTTACGATCGAAGTTTTGCAGTGTCGCCCAGCCCTATGGTGAAGTAGAACATGTTAAAAAAATGAGCAACATCATTGATTCATTCATTTATTTTCTTGTCTGCTTGGTCCCTTTATTTATCCGGGGTCGCCACAGCGGAATGAATCGCCAACTCATCCAGCAAGTTTTTACGCAGCGGATGCCCTTCCAGCTGCAACCCATCTCTGGGAAACATCCACACACGCTTTCACACACACACTCATACACTACGGACAATTTAGCCTACCCAATTCACCTGTACCTCATGTCTTTGGACTGCGGGGGAAACCGGAGCACCCGGAGGAAACCCAAGCGAAAGCAGGGAGAACATGCAAACTCCACACAGAAACATGAACTGAGCCGAGGTTCGAACCAGCAACCCAACGACCTTCTTGCTGTGAGGCGACAGCATTACCTACTGCACCACTGCTTCGCCATGAGAAACATCCTGGACCTTTTTTATGTATTATAGAAGTATCGAATCAGGTTTTGATATCTGTAGACACTCAAAACCAAATCAGGACTCAGACTCGACCTCGAGGGCAAAAACATCTGGTCAGGACATCCCTAATTTCTAAGAAGAAAATCAAAAACCACGATTCTGGAAACAGATCAACCAATTAGAAAAGACCAGAATAAATGTGAATTGGTTTATGTTTGACTATTATGCAATTGATATAGCATATGAACAAATATAAACATATATACAAATATAATGCATAATGTTATATAATGATTTTAATTTGCCCAAAAAAGTTTAGTAAACAGTTTCAGATATTGTGCCTTCGGTTGCCATAATATTATTACCTTCAAATTAAAGTTTGTCTTGTTCTTTATCTCAGAGGCGACTGCTTTCACTCATTACTTTTTATTGCTGAATTTTCTGAAATCCTTATAGAGAAAGTGAATAGAAAAAAACACATCCAAAGCCAAAAGAAGAGAGAGGTGAGCATCGCTGCAATGCCTGAATAAGGTTATTACATTTGGCATGTCTTATCACAATCTGGATTGTAATTACAATGCATCCACTGAACACAATTTTTCTCATTTGGCTGTTGCCTTGCTATTCAGTCAGAGAGGCAATCATGACACTCTTTCTTTAAGCACACACAAAAAAATACTATTACAATTCAGATCCTGTTTCATTTTGCTCTTGTATCATGAAATTGTAAAAGTTGAGGCTGAAGCTGAATAGATGGCTGCAATGATAATGCGAATCCTCGTGAGGAATCCTTTGAATACTGATGTTTTTGCATAACTCGTCCATGCATTTGAGAAACGTGAAAGAAACTGAGAGTGACACGCAAATAAATGCAACAAGCAGAAGTGTTTGGGAAAGCATGTCGATGTCCGATGTTAAGATGTAGCGACTGGCTTCTCAGTTTGGACGTATTGATTTTACAGTGTTGTGCGTTTCTGGTGTGTGTGGAAAACCCCGAGTACGAGACTGCAGCTCTCAGCAAGCGAGAGGGGAAAGCTGGTAATTGCTGCTCACGGCAGAACTTTATCAAACCTCTCCATCTAAACACAAGCTGATGGAAGCTGGCAATCAACAGCGGCTCTCAACAGCATAATACCCAGACCCCAGCACGCTCTGCAAACACACAGGCAAGCACAGAGTATCTGATACACTTCACTGCAAGCCAGTAACAGCTGATAATTAGAGGCTGCATCACTCCCTTATGGTTAACATTCAAAATGGGGATGCATTACACATTGCAGGTGAAGACAGCAGAAACGCTAAAGTCACCTTGCACTATATTTATATCCACAGAGCTGAGAGGAATAAAAATGACCAAAGAACGCTGTTAAATGCTGAGTAAAATGTTACTTTAAATTGATATGGTTATGCAATCGAATCTGTTGAGGCATTTATAAACAATAAAAAAAGACATTTTCCATTAAGTCTGTATGTACAAGGGTGTTCATAATGCATTATAATGCATGCATAATCCCTCATAAACAGTCAATCTTTATTCAAATGTACATTTACACTATGAAAGAAATAGTTAATCCAAAAATGTAAACTCTACTCACTTTCAAGTGGTTATAAACCTTTGTTTGTTGAAAAAAAAAAAACTGAAAACCGGTAAGCATTTTCTTCCATAGAAGGAAAAATAAATACTATGAACGTCAATGATAACAGATTTTCAGCTTTCTTCTAAACATCTCTGTTTGTGTGTAAAAAAAGGAAAAAAAAATAATAAATAAAAAAACTCAAACATGTTTACAACAAGTAAAGGGAGAGTAAATGATGACAGACTATTAATTTTTTTTGGCATACTTTCCTTTAAATAAACTATTAAGACAACCAGGTCAATAAACTAATTATTACTTGCTTATCAATAGTTAGTAAGGTACAGTAGTAGTTAGGTTTAAATATCATACTTTATAAGCAATAATAAACAGTTAATTTCTTATTAATATGCAGGTAATAAGCTAGTAGTTAATAGTGTGAACTGTGGAAACACTAACTACTAGCTTATTACCTGCCTATTATTAAAGTTTTTAACTATTCATAAGTAGTTATCCAGTATGATCTTATTATACATCCGTAAATCAACTCAAAACCAAAACAAAACATCTACCCTACTAACTAAGCAGCTAATTAGTATCTAGTTTATTAAGCTAGTAGTGTTAGTTAATTATTTGTTTACTGAATTTTTACTAAAACTACACTCACAGAAATAAAGGTATAGGAGCTGTCACTGGGGCAGTACCTTTTTCATTTGTACCTGAAGGGTCCATAATAGTACCTCAAAAGTACTTTTTAAGTACATTTAAGTACTAATACGCACCTTTTAGGTACCACTGTGGACTCTTTGGGTACAAATATGTATCTTTTGAAAGGGTGACTGCTCTTGTACCTTTATTTCTGAGAGTGTAGAGTGATACAGAACAAACAGCTGTACAATATTTTCTGAAATAGAATCATAACAATAGCTACAGTAAACAAGTATTATTACCTTAATATTATAATGAATGATGGCATTAAGACTAAAAGTGAATTTACTATATATTGTAAATTTATTTATTTTTGTACTTTTCCCACACAATTAGATTTTACTTCAAATGGAAATGTTTTATAACCACCTTATCTCATGGATGCTTAAAACAATGTACTTGCAGTAAACATGAATTAGAAATGTTGCAAAATGCTTTTGCCTCAATATACTACTATAGTACAGCTTATTAATAGTATTAATATAGTTGTTCTAGCATTTAAGGTATGGTATACAGTCCTAGAAATAATGGTACGAGAGCTGTTACTGGGATGGTATACCTTTTCAAAAGGTACACATTTGTAACTAAAGACTCCTTCTTAATACCTCAGGGGTATATTAGTACCTAAAAAGATCAAAAGTGTACCAATTCAAATTTTTAGGGTATATTTAGGAACCAATATGTACTATTAAGTACAAATGTGGACCTTTTATGATGGTTTCATGACAGTGACAGCTTTCGTACCTTTATTTCTGAGAGAGTAGGATTAAGGGAAGCAGAATATAGAAATGCAAAATAAGGCATTTATACATACTAAAATAATTTTAAAAAGCTAATAAGAACTTAAAAGTGAAAATTGGTCCCCATATGTTATTTAATTTTTTTTATTTACATTTTTTTTTATTTAAGCAAAAAACAAAACTTTTAATCTTATGTCTAAAGTGGTCTCCTAAATAATCTAGCAGTAAAAAGGTTTTTAGCTGAGAGTTTTCTCTTAAAGTACACAAGGAAATGCAACCTGACTATATTGATATTGTTAGCTAAAATTGCTTGTTTTGTGGTGAACAATTTATTTGTGCATGTCATTAAAAAAAATCTAATAAAAAAATAGCCTAGTAATCTTTGACTGATTTCAGGTAAATTCTCAAATTACATCTGTCTGAGATATTGGGTGTGGTTTTCTTTTTGCCAAAACCCTTTTGCCATTTTCTGAATGAAATGCCTACTTTACTACATCCAATCAACTCGCAGTAGAATAAAACAAGCCACGCCCACTGTTTTCTCATTATATTCTGTTTCTTTTGGAACT